TTGTCAAGCAATTTTGTATTCTTTACCACACAAAAAGTCCTTAACGACAACAGCGCGTATTTTGACGCGCTTTTTTGATTTCACGAACTAACACAATTGAATTTAATTGTGTTAGTTCGTGATGTGAGCGAAGGAATATTAGGCTTAAAAGAAGGATTTTTTTCCAAGATCCAATTAAGGCTCTGTAGATCCATTATATCTTACAGGAGAGGTAAATTGCATATTTGAGAACCATTTGGTAGCCCAGTGTTTTTATCGAAATCATATATCAAGAATAATGATGTTTTCATTTTTCCTATCGGTTGTGTTTCTCCACCATGATATAGGCTTATCTAGATAAGCTGTCAAAATCCACTTTCGTTTGCCTGACTATCCTTACAATGTAATTTACGGTAGTGGAGTTAAGTTTGCCAAATAGGCCCAAACCTACTGTTTACGTACCCCGTGCATTACAGTGTCGCCTTTTTCACCTTTTTGCCCATTGATGCCCTTAGGACCTGATGGTCCTGGCCTCCCTGGTAGACCAGGTGCTCCGGGAATTCCCATCAGGCCTCTATCACCTTTTCGGCCATCGAGTCCGTCTGTTCAAGATATAAGATAAATATAAAACGCAAATTGATGTATGACGTATTAAAAGCGCTTGCAACACTTCAAAGTTTACTTACCAAACCCATTTGGTCCGACTGGTCCAGGGAGACCATCATTACCCCTGATGCCCTTAATTCCAGATGGGCCAATATGTCCAGGCTTCCCTAGCTTACCCTGAAATAAAAGACAAATTCTATTTTAATAACAAGACACCAAATATGAACGAAATCAAAACATCAGAAATACTGAAAATTAAAATGAAATTTACTATATTTAATGAAAAATCCATTCATCGTTAGCCAGCCATTCTCATTGATATTTTGTTTGTATACAGGTAGTCTAAAAGTACATACCCTTCTCCCGCGTCGACCTCGTAACCCTTGGGACCCCTTCGGACCGATGGGACCTTCAGCGCCTTGGATTCCAGGTAAGCCCTATACAATTTGCATATATAATATTCACTTTATCGTTATAATTATGTAATCATATTAATTATGCGATATTACGTAATAGCAGTAGGCTTATTTTCCCATAATACACGTATTTCATTTGAAAAACACTGTAAAACGAGCATTAGTATTATCTAATCATACTAATGACGTAATTGTATTTACCGGGATTCCGTCTACTCCAGAAGTCCCTGGTTTTCCTGTCGCACCTGTTTTCCCTGGACGGCCCTGTAACGATATCAAAGATTACATTTAATCCTACCGACTAACACTAATAATAAGACATGATAACCGTCTAACCATTAATGCTTGCAGTACGGTACTAGTAATAAAGTAAATATAAATGTTTAACATCATAAATATACCGTAACTTACTGTTTCACCTTTCTCGCCAGCGCTCCCCTTTCTGCCACGCGGTCCGACTTCACCTTTTTTACCTGGTTGTCCTGGTATACCCTTTAAAGAAGTATGAGTTAATAAATAGTTACCGGTGCGGTTAAAACCATTATTTCTATATAGTTATATTTTAAAATTCACTGGAAGCCGGCCGGTTCACCAGGATCGGATGCATAATTTTTTAAACGATGTCTAGATGAATGATGATTCATGATCAGTATCTGCTACGAAATATTGTAATTTAGAATTTGTATCCCATTTTGTATTTTCTTTCTATTAAAAAATAAAATACGACAGTGGTAAAACCGTGGGCACGTACCCCTGTGCACCTCCCTAAACCCTCCCCTGCTCACATCCTGGCGAACAGTACACATGCAACATTGTTTTATTTTTCTAAATTCTACTAACTTTAATCTTACCTTCTCACCAGTACTTCCCTTTGGTCCCTAAAATTTTGAAACAAAAAAATCGTTCACCTATAAACAAGTACAAATTTTACTTCGCAGATTCCATGAAATTAAAATGAAATAAATATTTAAAAAATATATATATAAATTGAAATACTAAATGGAACATGTGAAAGCTCTTTACAAAATTAGACTTCCTTGTTCTCTGCATAGTGAATGAAATGAAGATTATAATACGATTGTTAGGCAATAGACCCAGAACGGCAACAACACAACAGAATGACAAACCAAACAAACCCCCGCACGTCGCACTGTCACCTTCCGACTCTCACATTTACCTCCTTTCCTGGAGATCCCGATGGTCCAGGCCGCCCATTCTTTCCTCTTTCTCCCTTAGGTCCTACAGGGCCAACACATTCTGGTAAATTCTGGATAACTCTACATTCTTCATTTATGGCATTCTATTCGATTGAAAACAGTCAGTCTATTAATTTATGTTGTTATTTCAGTATTTTGTTCCTTTATAAATTTATATTACGAGACAGGCACAAAAGGAGCATTTACCTTGGTTACTTGACGTCCGGTCGATTCTGTTGCTTGTGGATTATTAATAACGTCATGGGCGTCTGAAAGTGATGCAATTGATGGAGGAGGAGGTGGTGGAATGATGGGAGGGGGAGGTATGTGGATGATGCCACTATCATTTGATTTGTCATGTTGCGTAATCTTGATATTAACGGTGTGCTCTTGTAGCGCTGGCGGAAGCTCCGTTGTAATGGAATAATTGATACCAAGATCTTGCATTTGTTTACGTAATGATGGTGGGGGAGGGGGAATCATTGGGGGAGGCGGAAGCGTCACCATAATGGTTATCGATTTTTTTCCTGATGATGTTGACTCATTTATATTCCGATTAATTACTTTTTCTGAAAACAAATTAGGAAATGATATGAAAATAGTTTAATAAAAATGACAGTTATAATAATAATAATAATATTAATAATAATAAAAATATAGGCCTACTAAATAATTATAATAGGCCTAAATAATAACATAAACACCATCACCACCAAAAAAGATAACAACAATAATACATTTTCCTTACACTCCCCAAATATTATACACTTGTTCATTTGAACGTGGGGTAACTCGAAATTTATAATTGAGCGTAGAGGGCAGCAAGCATCGTTGTTATTCATATCATAAGGAAGATCCATTCCTGATGATGACATAATTAATGTCGAAATATTGAATTTAAACACGACAGCGTGTATTTCAATACTTGGAGTATGTATTATACTTTCTTATCTGAGATTAATCAGTGGACCTTTTAGAAAACAAAATAGTTTCTACCTGTACATTTCTGGCAGCATTCACCTTCTTCTTTGACATATACTTCACAGTCTAAAACTGGACAGGGTTGCCGTTTGCATTTCAAATCTCCATTCTACGGAGTGCATTGTAACAAAATGAAATGAACAGTAAGTGAATGTAGGAATAAATGAATGGATAGAAAGACATATTGATGTTTTATCTTGATTACTGGTAACATAATCGATCCTTCATTTCTACATTTTATCGACGCAATTCGATCTCTTTCATAAGTTCTTCGATGTATATATGACTGCCAAACTGATTATTTGAAAATTAATGGCTGAAAATAAATCAGATAGCTAGCATTCCTGTCACGTGACACTGACTATTTACAAATTAATTACAGTAAATAAATCAAATAAGGTGTCCTGAGATGATTTTTCTTGCTCAAATAAAATACCACTAGATTACTAAATATAAATCGATGCTTACTTTACAGGTACACCGCCGGCACGGATCCCCCGGTGAAATAAAACTTTGTTTATGCACAAACATTATTCCTTGATAAGCACACGAGGCTACAATTATAAATATAAATTTAATATATTATTTACTTTAAATATTTGTTTTTTTTTAATGTATTTTTATGTGAATATTTTTTATGTGAATTTTTTATTTTATTTGTTTGTTTGTGTGTTTGTTTGTGTGTTTGCTAGCTTGCTAGCTAGCTAGCTGGCTTGCTTTCTTATTTATTTATTTATTTATTTATTTATTTATTTATTTATTTATTTATTTATTTATTTATTTATCACATTACCATTCCTTGTTTCTAAATAATAACACTTCAAATGAAAAGTTTATAATTGTAAAAACAAAAAGAAAATAGTTTCAATATAGGCCTATTACCGCACATTTTTACATGTTTCTTACAAATAATATTTATTTCTGATTTTAATTTTCTTTCACCTATAAAATTGAGATAACCAAAGAAGTAATCAAAAATTGCATTGGGTATAAAGTGATAATGATAACTTCAATAACAACAACAATGACTGGGAAAATCAAAATAAGATTTCTTTTATTAGGCCTCACATTTTTGTTTCAAAACGACGAAATACATACCTTTATCCTTATTCTTGAATTTCTTTGCATCGGCTTGTGGCGTCATCCATATTAGAAGGACAACAATGAAGACCAAAACAGTCCACACTTTACCCATTTTTAAAATCTTTGAAGCACATGTACGTTAGGTCTGAGAAAATGTAATAACTTCCATACCAATAAATTAATCAGTCTGTAAATCAATATGAATTATTTCATCAATCATACAATCAATGATATGTAGCAAGCAAAATCAATTTGAAAATCAAACAAATCAGTCAATCGATAAATGAACCAACCAATCAAATCAATAATAATAATAATAATAATAATAATAATAATAATAATAATAATAATAATAATAATAATAATAATAATAGTTTATTATTTTTTTCACGGTTAAACTTGACTCAACAGAAATTTTTTTAATTGATTTTCAGCAAGGCCGTGTCCTTAAACTAATCGAATCTGACTAAAATATACATTAAAACTTTAAATTAGAGTGAAGACATTTGAGGCCTACATACTGTGCATTTAAACCACGTAAAGATTAAAATACATTTAAAACTGTATAAATACAATTGATGCATCAATCAATAATAATAAATTAATAATCAATCAATAAATCGAGCAATCAGATTTTAGAGGTTACAGAAAACCAGCCTGATCTAACACAGTGTTTACACAGTCCCGGTTCTCCGCCACGTATTGGTTCATTCTTACCCAGAAAAGATGTTTCCTGCGATATAGGAACTAAGTAGACATTTCATTGCAAGATGTTATAAATATAAGCTATTTAGAGACGGAGAAATTAATCTCTCACGGAGTAATAGAGTGATTTTTTTCAGGAATATTCCAACAACCTAATTTAGCTTTATGTTGTATTTCGAAATAATATATGCGTTCGATTGACGGTATCTATGGATGGCCACCGGTTGTGGCCTACATACTATCGGCGAGCAGTTGAAACCAGGCTTAAATTAAATGAGTTGTTTTAATGAAGACGTGTAGCATAATTTATAATAGTCAGACCTAGTTAATCAAGATCAGAAAGAGAGAATGACATTTTTTAAAGTCCAATTTAATGGCAAGGGATAATCGCAAGTATAGACATGTTCCTTGTCTTATCGAAATTCACAATTCGGCCTAGCTCAATAATAATAATATTAATAATAATAATAATAATAATAATAATAATAATAATTATTATTATTATTATTATTATTAATATAAATTATTCAAACATAAAATAAATATAAGATAAAAATACAAAAACAATAAACCAACAGTAGAGGTAAAATGCCATCAACACTTCAGATTTTATTAAATAATATTGACAAGAAATAATTATTCAAACAAAAACCATGATATCCATTTCACAATTATTTGATTCTGTAACGTACGGTATCTTGTCTGCATTTGCATTAATCAATCTATACCTAAATAGCTACTGGGATAATCCAACCATTGATTACCATACAAATTTCTTGTATTTACAAACATTATTTATTGTGCCGAACGGAGAAATGTGAGGGTGTGTGGACAGCTGGAAATCCAATGGCCCTCACATATCACCCATCAAGTCGTCTATTGGTTTCAAGACAAAATATTACTTTCTTATCATCTCAGTACTGACTCTAAACTCATGACACGTCAACACACATTAGCCCCGGGGCCGCTGGGTCTGGCATGTTGGAATGACGTCAGCAATAAGGTCAGAGCGCTCAGTTAGTTTAGAGAGGTTAACAAACATTCTTTACGGACAAAAATTATTAATAAGTGTAAATATCTTATATTCAGAGAAAGTTGTCCTTGTAAATAAGTTGAACATAATACCATTGTAGAAATTACCCTAATGATGAAAAAAGATCAAATGAAACTATATAGGCTATGTTGAGTAGAAACTGCTGTGACGAAATCGACTGCTAGATAACTTTAATATTTATGTCCAGACGTCATAGGGGCCTATCTATGATAATTGGCACGGCGCACCAGCTACGGACCTATGCATGATTTCAATTAATTAGAAGATGTGGAGTTGCTACACTCCCGTTGATTTCGTAGCCTAAAGCTCCGTACACACTATCAATTTTATGTGATCAATTTGTGTGATGTGCCCATATGTTGGCATGATGATCATAATTACATTAAAATATGGGCAAATCACATTTTTGTTACATAAAAGTTGATAGTGGGGTCCGAGATTAAGAATCTATTGAGTGTGCGCGATAACGTGGACAGTATCATCCCGCGAAATTTGCGCGTCATGGTATCAGGATGCGCGAAATGCAGTACGGTACAGTACTATACCCTATAAAGTTGCGTATTGATCAGTTGTGGTCGGACGTCATCATATTCATGAATGTATACACTGTATTATGATGTCCAATAGAAAAAGTAATAATTTTGCTAGGGGCATTACGGAACAATCAATGAATGTACAAGTATGATGATCAACGAACGTACATCTGAGACTATCTAGCTAGACAAGGCAACATCTGGCGCCTGCGGGTCTGCTTCGTTATATATAGGATATGCCAAAAACAATATCTATAATAATTATGTATTGACTTTAGCTGGTGATTATTCATAATCAGCATTCACAAGGTAATACATTAATGGCAATCAGCTTTGGAGTGTGGCGATATACTTATTAAATTACCTTGAGAAAACGATGTACGATAGTGATGTTGTTGCACGATAGTGATGTTGATAAAGATGATGATGATGATGATGATGATGATGATGATAATGATTTGATTATCATGTTGTAGTCTTGATTTCGATCTCCATCATCGTTAGGAATGTAGTTATCATTATAACGATACTGATCATCTTTGACAATAATTTTCAAAATTTTCAGGAGCACCGCCCTGTCATGAGAAATATACTTAGTGCCAGCATAGGTCTCCGTAGTGCAGTGACCCATGTGGTGTAAGGTATTTACTCCGTTTCTTTTAAAGATGATATATCCATATCAATATAATATTTAAATACACATTGACCTAAATATCAGCAATGTTAATCACTTTTTGCAATAAAGTTGTAATGTAATAAACTTGTAATGATATATTACGTTACAAGGTGCCTCATCCTGTGATAACCTATTCGGGACGGCGTCACCAACGTCAAGTAGGCGAGATAACATCTACAATCATGCACAGTTAGCCTTGAGCTCTACAACGCATCATCCGTTACTTACCAAAGCAGATCATATGTACAGTATGTCGTACTGTCATCCCGAGAACAAGGCTCCCGACTCTGGTAATTAGAAGATTTGGTATTAGGAATCGGTAGGCACTGGTTCACATGTGCAAGATCAGTATATACCCACTTAGCACTAGGCACCCGGCGCGACTTCCACCTGATTCGTGAAGATCCTGCAGCGAACGGAAACATTACGGAAATTATTGTATTAACAGGAAGAAGTCGTAGATTTGTGATCCTAAATTTAATTATGGTTGATGAAATTTTTGTTATTATAATGTCTAGTTCATCTGTGTAATGACTTAAAATAATAGCGATCTATTATTCGTTTCGATAGTCGAAGGAGAATAATAAGATATTTTAATTTTATAAATCAATAATAAAGATGACTGGTAAATAAACACGACTAATGTCGTTATATTTGAAAAGTCGAATGTACCAATGACAAGTAATTCTTTACACATTATTATAAGAAAGGACAGACATTGAAGGTTTGGTTGTTGTGGAGAAGCTTTGCCGGATTTTGCGTGTGTCACGGGCGATCATGTAAATAAAACTATTATAAGCATTAATTGGGAGAAAAAAAATGCAATTGTTAGTAGCCAAGTGTTGTGTGATTAAGAATACAGACAAAGTACAAGAAATTAGTAATAGACTGCACAGAAAATCACACAGCAAATTTAATCATATTGTAGGAATGACACAAACAATTTTCAGAGTTCCAATTAGTCTCTCACGTTTATTCGTTTAGGTGATTTACCGAAAATGAAATTAGCTCGTCATTCTGTCATAGTTCAATTGCTGAGCGTTCTCGATTGTTCAAATATTTTAAAATAAAATCCTATTGTTTGTATTGCTAAGTTGTTTTTTTATTTTTTTTTTAATTTTGAGTAAGACAAATCGGTAACTTTAAAAATATTAGAATAAAAGTATTTTTCCCGCCAATTTTAACAGACGTATAAAATACAGTTCCAATATTCGCTTATGCATTTGTCTATAATTTGAGAAATTGTGTGTGAAAGGAATGTAACTCAGTAAGGAAATATTTTGGTGGATCTTTTTTTTTTGTTATTTTACGCAAAGTTTTAAGCTTAATTTTTTATGTTTTCCTGATTTTGTAATAGGCCTATTTAACGCGGGGTTTCGTCAATAGCCTGTGACAAACATTAACGCGTAGAAATGTGCTCATGTAGGCCTATCTTATCTTGAGGTGCAGAGAGTCAATTTTCACATGCTTTCGCGCGAAATATGTTTACATACTATTTGGTATAAATTGATCGTGTGAAGGCAGATTTAATTTTAATTAATATTTGTTTGAACGAGCAGTTGTCCATTAGTATACTCTTGAAAATGTAAACCATTTATAAGTGTCGGGATTGCCTATTGTAACGCGTTATGCGTGGTTATAGAGCGCGATACGTGGATAATGACCATTGTATCACTCGTTACTGACCTTCATCTACCAGCGTCTGAATCTCACTCAACGATTAGAAACAATTAGTATTTCTTTCGTATTGGCATCATCGATCACGTTAAAATAGGCCTAAGGTTGATCACGTGACCGACGTGTAACCGATAATGGCAATACTTCAAATGTAGGCCTGTGACAGATTGAAAACATTTAAAGACGATCCATCAAGCAATCTTGACAGGTTGATGAATGATATCAAATGCCAATATTCTAGTTTGTGAAGTCATAGTATTAGTGTACATCATCGTCATCGTCTTACTGGCTATAGCTAAAACGAGAGGAAGGCATATACAGGCCTATGATGCAAGTTTTATGTAAATAGATACATTACATGAATATAAATATAATAATTGTAGTGTCTATTAAATCATATTTACACCAAAACATATTGGTTCGCGACGGGATCGAGCCTCAGACCCTCCGACTATGCACTTTGTCAACTTGTTAAGTTGATATATATACGGTATAATGTCAAATATATTATAAGGCCTTCGAATAAATATCATTTTAAACCAAATGATATTTAAGAGCGATTTTCGATTTCGTTTATCATATTCGACCATGTATATTTCTCAAGGCCTCATCATGAGCACCGCTGAAGGGTCAAAGAAACCATGACGAAAGCGTTGTGATGCCCAATGATCAGTTTGTATAAATTTCAGTAGTAAATTTTTGATAGAATCCTCTTGCTTTAAAAATAATAACCAACTCAGTGCTATTTGATTTAATATAAATTGTGTTTTGTCACGAGTGATTGGCGCGTGTGTGGGAAAAACGATAAATTTGAAGATGAAGTTTTCTGGAAAAAATATCCTTCTGCTAAAATCAGAGAAGACACGTACACGGTTATCGTCGGTGGAATTAATAGTAAATGACATTGACATAATATTATTTGTATAATGCATCGTGTTCTCATTCGATCAGTACTACAGTACATACAAAACAGATATAACGAACCCACTATCAGAATTAGGTAGCTGTTGATGCTCTACCAACTAAGCACTGGTGATAATCTTGTACGTGTGTCTCCTTGGTTATGCAGGAGGATTCTCTTTAAAACATCATCTTCAAAATTATCATCTTACCCACACGCGCCAAGTAATTAGCTTGTATGCAATGGAACACGCTTTTGAATGTAGTTCAACGAATAGTTTATCTGCCAACTGTTTTATTACGCAAATATTATTCCTCAACCAATGAAAAGAAAAATAAGCTGAAACTGATACTTTAACATGTTGAAATAGAAATTGTAATATGTTACACACTGAAGTTGATGTTTCGGGTACCGTATCGTTCCTTCTTTAAATAACATCCGCACACACGTATTAATGTCTATTGATAATAACACACGTCGATATAAACACAGCATAATAATATCGCGTATAGTTTACACGGACATGCGTTATACGAAACTACATCTTCCTAAGTGAAACGATAGCTACTTATGTTAACAATTACACAGTTTGAAAAAAAATGAACGGAATTGCCAAGCTAGTCTATATAGGTTATGCTTCGATATTAGCAATATCGTATATCACTTGTTATAGGCCTACAATTAAATAGATTGTGTTTTGTAACAACGTTAATAATGGCATTACACTATAATTTAAAAAGTACAGTGCTCCAAAATATCTGTCCTATTCCTTGTTAACTCTCTATCTCTCCGTCTATTGAAATTGAATTTCATTAAACAATCTCCAAGTAGGAGAACATACACAAACTGAATTTAGTAAACACTAAATATAAAATGTACAAAATAAAACAGCAAATTAAAAAGAAAGGACAAGATAAACTAAAGACGGAATATGAAAAACAGATTTTATATAATAGCAACAGTAATAAGTTATAAATAATTCTAATGTGTAGCAATATAATACTATTAAGAATACACATTACGATGTCGTATCGCACTATAAAAGTGCAGATCCCAATCATGCTCTTCAGGTTCCGAACAGTGTAAAATATTAATGATACCGTCCGATATTTCATTAACAAGTATTACTATGTACATTGGTTTTTTTTTTTACCTAAAAGAAAATATTGGCATATAAATTAGCATTCTTGCATTATTATGATATTACAAGTTAATATTTAAATTAACATCAACGCATTTAATGAAATATCGGCTTACCTTGATTGGAAATATCTTCAATCAATCTCCTCTATATTTCGTTTAAATCGCACGCAATGGGCAACACGAGTTATACGAGTGAGCTCACTTGATTGTCGATTCAATGACAGTCATTGTGGTCGCTTCCATTCCGAATCGGGGAACCATTACATTCGAAGGATTGGTATATAGGCCTAGGTACTTTATATAGATTATACTTGCTATTCTTAGTATTACTATATATAGCAGGCTGCAGGCTGCAGGCTTGTAATTGTTTTGATCGTGAGACAAAATCCTGTTACCGTGACAGTAATTGAACCCAGAACGATTGAATTGGAAGGCAAACATCTTAACCACTAAGATTCACCTCCACTCCGATGACGACAATAATCACATTAATTAGGCTTATTTAAGAAGAAAGACTCATTTTGTACTACAAATTGTGACCGAAGGCCAAATTACTTTCTACAAATTGCTTTCTGCAAAAGTGGAGTTTAAAATATAACATTAAAATGAAGTAAAAACAATATTAATTGCTATCAAATATCATCATGATTATTATATTATATTATATTATATAAAATATTAAAAAGATTTAGTCCAGTCTGAGAGGAGGTATCTCATTCATATGACCTTAATTTTGATTCATAAGGACAACAGTGAATGGGGTTGTTAGAAAACCGTTTTGTGTGAGAGGCCAGACTAGAAATGCTATTACGTTTTCATGGTTTCAACGAAAGCTAGAATTGTACAATAGTAACAGTGGCAGTGAGTCGTAAGCTCAATTACAACATTTTAGATACCACATACTACAGTGACGTGTATTAAAATTTAAATACACTGTGGAGTACCTTATTGAAATACGATACACTTTCACTTCTTGCAGGGGTGAGAGCATTCTTCCCATCCGATCGGGAACCTCTTGTCACTCCTAAATGAACCATTGTTTGATTTACGGAGTACTTGCGGCTTCTCGATGCGCTAGTTTGGGCGTCGGCAGCATCGAGCACAGATGATACTGATGATCTCTCATTACCATTAACTGGTGAGGTTACAGAAGATGCTTCTCTGTCAACGGATGTCTTGTCGTCAGGAGAAGTCATGTGACTGTCACTGAAGTTGAAGACCAAAGCTTCTTTTCTGTTGTGATTACTGTAAGTGGTGATATCCTTCGTAGTAGTAGGATATTGCACGTCATCTTGTTCCTCGTTAACTCGTAGCGACAACGAATTCAACTTATTGTTTACGGTCGATCTGGATCTCTTACGTGAATCAAAAAACACAGTTTGCCGTCTTCTGGAGTCCATAGCAACGCTGGATTGGGTATTTAGACTGTGTATCGGTGGCATATTGCATCCCGGATTCTTCTCCAAGTAAGGCTTAACGGCGGGAAGATGAAGAATTTCCTCTGCAGACGGTCTGCCCTTTGGGTTGACACTCAAGAGAACAGACACAAGATCGTGTAAAAACGGTCCGTACACTCTGTAATCAAAGACAGAGATCAACATGACAAGAGGTACTTTAATATAAAGCCGGTGATGGAATGAGAAAAGGAAAGCAAGAAGGAGGCGAATGAATAAGGGAATGGAGAAATAGATCGAAATAAAACGGCAGTAAAGCAGGGATGTGAGGAGGTGTTGGAAGAGTGAGGAGTAATCTTCAGTGGGAACTACGAAAGAAATGCATACCTACCGGTTAAGTGGTTTGTATCTGGCTGTTAAGATCTTGACAACTAGTAATGAGAAGTCTGCAGCGTCGAATGGATGTACCAGCGTTGCGAGCTCGTAAAGTATGCAGCCAGCGGCCCACATGTCACTCTTTTGGTTGTATCTGTAACGCGGTATAAGAAAATTGACAATGCGTTCTTTTACTATCAAGGATATTTTATTGTAATCAATCCGACATTTAAAACATATGGAAAATAATGTTCATGAGCAATGTAATCTTTTTAAAAATGCATGTTGTAGGCGTATACTTCGACAATTTACAAAATATGAATAAATTATAGACACTAGTCAGTACTATGTCGATTTTAAAGTTCATGTTCTAAAAGAAATAAGCATATCTTGGAGATAAAATAGCGAATGAAAGGATACGATTTTCGACAGCAGATTTCCGGTGAGAGATAATATGGTGTGCCAATAGCTGTGTTAGCATGATCGTCAGAGCTGCTCAAAATGCGAGCGATACCAAAATCTCCAACTTTCACGACGTCATCCGATTTTACAAATATATTTTGCGGTTTTAAATCTGCAAAAGATATTAATAAATTTTTAGTACATTATTTATGACAAATGCAATTTTTATTAGGTCTATTGGGAGTTACTTTAAAGCCATGAGATATAGTCAATTAATTTAAGAGAATGTTCTTAGCGTTTAACTTTTTTTCACCAATTATTGTTCATATTATATTAAATCAACATTTTTCATTACCTCGATGAAGAATATTGAGACCATGGATGTATTGCAGAGCCAAGCAAATCTGGACAAACCATTTTAAGATACGACGTTCGGCTAGCAGCGACCTCACTGAGGCCGCCTCGTAAATAATTGCCCCCATATCACCTATAATAATAATGGAATTTTAAAGTAACTGATTAATATAATAAAATGGAATTTTAAAGTGATTAATATGGAAAAAAAGACACGTAAACTGAGTTAGTAAAAGAAGTAGAATGACTCAAACGGCGATCGAATTAACTAGGCCTATATGGCCACTGGAAAATTATATATTCAGCTCCCTAGGAGAGTATTCCATTATTACTATATAATATTACAGATAAAATTCAGCACATTTAGTGTGATGTAATTCATGACATATAGGTCTACTATATTTATTGAGGGGTGGACAACGTAAATAAATTATGAAAAAATGATATGTTCATCGCCATCAAATGGCACTCTCAGACATAAATTTATTTGTAATTTTAGGGGGCCCGGGCCGGCTCGCCCCCACCCCCACTCTTGAATCCGCCACTGCAATACATGAATTGTCTAATGACATTTGACGAAGACTTTACTAATATAGTGTACTATAGCCATAATATTTAGAGCGAGCCTACCTCCGTCAGCATATTCCATTGCAATGCACAACATATTATTGAGGACATATGCATGACGATATCGAATAACGTGATGATGTTTTAGTCTGGCAAGGATTGATACTTCATTCAGGGCTTGGTTTCTCTCTTTCTCCGTCATGTTACCAACCTGCATTTCCTTCACAACATATTTCCTTCTACTTTGCTTTGAACAGACAAGCCATGCTTGTCCAAAACTCCCGCTCCCAATTACGCGTATTTTTTCAAATTTATTCGCCATGTTTTTAGTCACATAAACACCGTTCACTGAGTCAATCGTCTTCACTTTTGGTCACACTCGAGAAAAGTTTTAACACCTGAGAATTATTTTAATAAGTTTGTGATTTTTAAAATAAATGAAGCACGCCCTCCTTTGCTCAGTAAAACAAAATGGCAGCCCCCATGGACACATCACAAAATCTAAGTGGACCAGAATGGATGGTCGAAAAAGCTCAAAAATGTGTCAGAACAGATTTGTTTGCATCAAAATCATTGCTGATAACAGCAAGATCACTTTATCCTAGAAATTTCCGAATTCAGGTACTGCCATTATAACCGTTTATAAACGTTGAATGTTATTGTTATACCTAGGCCCTAGGCCTGTGCTACTGTGTGGGATGATACATTTGTCGTTCGTATCGTATGCCAACGCGGGGCGGATGCTCATTGCTAGGCCGCCTAGCTAACTTCGGCTACATGGGCTAGCTCTACTTATTAAGTATACTACTAGACCCACCCCTTTGGAATATATATAAAGTATAACTATAGGAAAAATACACACTATAAAAATATGCCTACCTACTTAGGTTTTGGTACACATAAAAAGGATTAGTCAAGCTAAACCCATGCACAAACTGTATTTAGTCTAAGGAATAGGCTACTTAGTACTACCCTCCCGGCTCCGTGCAAAAATTTGGCCTAGAAACCCGTACGCACATTTCGAAAAATAAGGGCCGATTTCCGCGCAGATTTTTGCCAAATATTGGGCTTTGAACAAATCCTAATATATAAGCAATGCAATCACTTACGATTCGGTGCACCTATTTTGCTAGCGATTTTTCGCGGAAATTTGTGTCAATTTTTTAGATATCTTCTGCGCAATTAAAAATATTTACAGTATTAACCCAGGCTAGGCCTGGGCAGGCAAGAAAGTTTGTTACTTGTAATAATAATTTACATTTCCTTCAGTGTAATGGTTAAATGTAAGACCAGTCAGGCCTATATTTTATAAAAGTTTAGAATGCAAAAACTTTCTACATGTATATGGCACAATGTTTCGCTCATCTTAATGGAGAGAAAATTTAGGAATGATGTCCTAGGAATCAAACCAATGTAAATTGTTTACCTTAATTAAAGTTTGAGGCTTACAAGATAGAGAAGTCAGCAAAGAAAACAACAGAAGGTGCAGCAATCTTACTTGACATGTAAGTGTATCTCTCTCTCTTTAATCTTTATTGCTGTTCTGCCAGGCTTGACTGCACCTTTTCAGCTTTTTTTCCTATTTCACAAATTATATGTTTCCATTTCTTTTTGTTATTACTTGTTTCCTTTCACAAAAACTATGCAATATAATCTTCAACATTATCTATATTCTGAAATTAGCACTCCCTTCCCCACCGACTCATTGTCTCCCCCAAGCCTGACATGCCATTGATCTTGTGAAAAATAACATTGATGATTAATAATTAACACCAATGTTTTGGTAAAAACCAATTTCTATTAACAGGTTTCAACACTTCTTTGATGAACCAGTGCTTCAAGATGAACTTCAAGCACTTACAACAGCTTTGCAGTCTGACAGTCAAGATTCATCTGTTACCATCCTCAGAGGTACAGCTACAACATATGTAAATCTTGCTATTAGAAATGGTTTGGCTAACCCACGTTTCAAATGAGCTGCCCCTGATAATCTGAAACATACCTCCTTGCATTATATACCATCAAACTTCTGATGAAATTCACAAAATGACAAGATAGGAGGATCTTGAATTTTGTACTCCTGAAAAAGCTAAGCTTATCCAAGAAGAGGGTTCAGCTTCATGTGCTTTTTCCCTCTTGCCTTTACAGGAGCTCATTTCTTAGTCCTAACCAATTGCTTAGCATCCCTGGCTCTTATGTAGGTAACCCCTTAAGGAATTTTGTTACAGGCCTGTTAGAGTTGATCTGAAGTGTGGATAAAGAAAAAAAAAACACAATATATCAAAATGCTAGTAATTATGATTATTATTCCTTATAGATATGTTTGATTCTTTTCCACCAAAAGCAAAATATGATATTTTGCAAAAGAGCTCAGGTGAGATTTAATTGTATTATTGTTATGTTTTTTTATTTTAATACTAATTAATTGCTTTATCTGTCATTCATCAATTAATTTTTAAACTGATTGTGTAATAATGGTAAATTTACTGTCCTACAGAATATGCCAAAAATATGATAGAGAAGTCCCGCTGCAAGTTACTTTTGATGAAGCATTTTTCAGAAGCAATTTCCCTATATGGAGTAAGTTATTGAACTTTTCCTTTTACCATATCACAGAGAAAGCTAAAGTTGAAATAATAATAGTAATTGTTAAATGATGGCGATACTAAAATATTTTTTTTAAGGAAATCAAGGTCTTTAACATGTTCCCATAGTTCCATATACTGTATGTTGCATATTGTACAAAGTTTGAAATATGTTCAAATTAAATGCTATATTGAAAGAAATTATACTTCAGGTTGTATTAAATATTGTATTAAGTGACCATAAAGTAAATATAAAATATAATTCATTTAAATTGTTTGTTTAATAAGGGGTCGTTCACAATTATTAACATTGCGTACAAACAGTAATCTTTTTTCGGTACCCCCTCACTCCCCTCTGAAAGTGTACATAAATAATGTTGATCGGCAAAACCATTCTCCATTTTTTGTGAATTCAGCAAAAGTACTGTACTTGGTTCCATAAAAATGTATAAATTATATCCGTGGTTGCATTATAATTGGTAATAAAAAATCTCATTATTTTAAATATTAATTAATTATTTTAATATTATATAATATATCAACATTTTCATGCTTGTGTAAAAGTGTACAAATTTGTCTACCCCTTCCCCCCTAGCATACTGTTTGCACACTTGTGAAAATGTTGATCATTGTGAATGGCCAAAGTAGAAGAAATGTTTTAAGTAACTTGTACATACCGTATTTGACATTTAGACCTGTTCAATGAATTTCCATCCTGTTTAATGTAATCTTTTAAACTTGTAGGTAAGCCTTGCAGAAAGTTTGATTGACTGTGAGAAGGCGGAAGGAGAGAAAAGCGCCCTCAACCCATACCGTAATCTTCTTGGTAAGAAACAAGTCACATATGAACTGTTAGTAAGAGCTAATTAAATGAAGGCTTATTTAGAAAAAAAGGCAAATAATAAGACTCTAACTAGTAGGTACGTATTAATATTAATAATAATGATAATATAACTCATAACATAGAGCGATTTGGTGCAGTGGTATGAATAGAAAAGTAGTATTTGATATTGTGCATCTTTGCCATTAGTACATTCATCAGGGAAATTTGTGAGTGTATTGTATTTTATAAACTGTGCAATGTAAGTTTCAATATTTAGAATAAATAATGATAATTATAATGAAAAAAATAATAAATATGTACTTTTCAGTTTGTGAAGTCTTGCCATTGGTAATTGCAAATAAACAGATAGATGTTCCATTGAAGTTTTATGCCAAGTGGCTGCAGAAATCCATGGCATACTACCTTAGTTACATCACCCACCCACCACGGAAACATGATCAGCTAGGCTCCTCAACACCAGTCTTAACTAGTCCTGGTCTTAACTCGCCACCCTCTACCAAAGTTTCTGGTTATACTAGGCCTGGTTTTGAAGGGGCACCAATAGAGGGCAGTGTTGATGGCTGGGAGAAAATGCATGAGATGATTGTTAAGATTGCTGAGAAGTGTGGCTGGAATCTGCAGGCTATTCCCAAGATCTCAGGGTGAGTTAATTTAACAATCATAATATTTGTAATAAATGTTAACTACTATATCATTACATATTCATGGCTTTGGTGGTTCTAGGCTATTTATAGGTGGTGGGGGGAGGGGAAACTAACCTATCTGACATGGGGTATGAAAATGTTCATTGAAACCAAAGAGTATAAAACTGCAAGAGGTCCTACTCTCATGGTTTCGTTGGAACGTAATCCTATTTCAGAAAGTACTGCCATGAAGAGGCGTGTTTGTAAAAGACGAGTTTCAAGGGTTTCGAGCAAACTCTATTAGAATTCTAATAGGGTGCCCCCTATCTCTTGGCAGTACAGTACTTTTTTTGTAACGTTCCATTGCATGCATACAAATTCAGGGCAGTCAGAAGCCCTGGTGGTTTTCATGAGCTACTTACAAAAACTGAGCAATTTTGTTTTGTCCAACAGGGGATTAAGCCCACTCATGCTCCAGAGAAATTCCAGTAATTAATTAATATGTATTGTTCGCAATGTTTTTCAGGAGTGTAACCTCAAGATTCCAACATATATCCGAGTGTTACCGTCAACAGCCCGCCGACTCCCCTGCTGTCAATAAATCTATCTTTTATTCAACTGTGCTGCTTTTTCTAAAAACTGCATTTTTCTATGCAAGCACAGTAGATGCTGAATCTTTTGCAAGTGAGTAGCAATCAATTAATCAGTCAATCAATCTGTCAGTCAGTAAAGCTAATGTATATTAATTTCACATGTGCTACTTAGTATTCATATAGGAAGCAGTTATTTTAATGAAATAAATAATAAATTGTTTTTTAAAATAACATATTGTCCTAATCAGGATTCAAACCCATGAACCTCCACTTACCCTTACTATTTGGTTGCTTTACCATTTAATGAGGTATGTAATACACAATAAACCATTTTGTAGTTTAAACTGTGCATGCCATCCAAGGTCAACCTACATAAACCTATATTGTGTGTATGTTTATTATTGTCGATTGACCTTGAGACGGGCATGCGCATTTCACACTACGAAATGGCTTATTAGTTAGGCACATTAGTATTTTATGATTGAACTACTATGTAATCTCATATATGTATATTTATATTGGTATGAGGTTAAAGACCGTCTAGTATATAGAGTGCTCAACAATATAAGATTTATAATGATGTTATTATTGCATTTATTCCATAGGTACAAGCATTGGTCACCCAACAGCCCTGCTGCTTCTTGAGGATCTGAATGCGAGGCTGAAATCAAAAAAACATAAACACAAACACAAGAAAATGAGGCTTGATGAGAATGATATCCCAGTAAGTACAATACTATGTTTACTGCTGGTAAATGTTTTAAACATACTAAATCCTGTAGTGGCAGAGAGGCAAGAGGCCCTGAGAGAAGGGTAGGAACAATCCGGATATCACAATGATAAGGCGAGACCTTTTTTATTCCTTGTTTCGCGTACTTATTTTTCAGAGGACGGAATAAAAATAAAAATAAAATTTTGTTTTCTTATTTAGCAAATAGTTTTGCCAAAAACATCAAGACGGAGGATCAAAGAAAAATAAAATTTTATTGGTGAATGTAAAATAGGATGGTTAAATGCTTCAAATTTACATAATTAGGAAGAAATATGCATGTCTTATCTTTGGAGATTTCAAGGCAGCAGAGGGCGTGATTAAATAAAACTTTTATTTTTTTCTGAAATTTCCATTGTTTTGTGGTGGCGGGTGTGCTAATTGGCCAAAAATAAAATTTTATTTTCATTCGAAATCATCAATATTTGCAGTCGGCGGGTTCGCTAAGCAAGGTATAAAAAAAGTCTTGTCTAACACCTTTTTCAGTTTTTTTAACTGTATCTTGGTTTGTCAAATCATGTATCTTTGATTGACAACAAATGCTTTACCTACATTAAGGAGATAATACTGGAAGATTATAGATGTTTAATAGGAGCAAGGGTTTCATTTGCAGATGAAGTGCTTTTTTTTCCAAAAATCAAGTGGTAATATAAATGTTGTCTGTTCTGCAGTTGGATTCTGATAGTTCAGATGATCCAGGCCTTTCCAGTATTCCAGCCAATCTAAAGGTCAACAAGTCATATGGGGTCACACCAGAGTTGATAGAGAACTTTGAGACTGCTGTTGATTGTTGGAAACTGCTATATGCAAATGAATATTTAGAAAAAGGTTAGAAAATGTTAAAAACTATAGAATTCTGGAGATTGTATAGACAAAATCGTGTACACCTTTTGTATGTTTTACAATAATGATAATAATTAAATTGATTTCCTCTTGTCACACTCTTTACTATTAATTTGTCATTGTTTCTTATCATTTAATTCCTTTAAAATTGTATATTTCATATTATTTGATTTATCTGTCAATTAAAGTAAATGTTTTCAGTTGTATAGGTCCACACTTTTGTTTATTACTTATTATATTTCATCCTCTTTACTTTATTTTCTTTATTATCATATATTTCTGTTGAGATTATTCCACTTATGCAAGGGTTGATTTCAGATTTCAACTGGCTGTTGCACCGTTGGAAGGCTGACAAATGGCTATGGCTAACATCTTTCCAAACTGACATGATGATCTTCAAGGTAAATGATTCCACCATTGACATTATTTTCTTATTCTTTCATCCCAATCTACCCCATTAACCCATATGTACGCATAATCCTATGTACCAACATTTATCAATTTAGATCAACCCAATATTCTCCATTTCAGCCCAATATAACCTCATTCACTTGTAATACTCATATATATCCCAATTTACATCTTTTATTACAGTGCACCTGTATAATCAGTCAATGTTATGACCTGTTATTTTATGCTTGTTTACCTCAATTCACCCTATGCTAATTTCAAATAAGAATATAAGAAATTAAAAAAAAATTTAAATAAAAAATTAATATAATCTTCATCCCCTCATACACTATGGTACCTACTCAAAAGTTGTCATAACTCCTGTACCTCCCATATCTATTTATTTCCTTGATTAATATCTCTGCTATCTTTTCTGTTTTCCTCAACCTAGGGAGATTTTGCTCAGGCTTTGAGAATGCTTCAAGAGAAACACAAGCAGATGTCAAGCATGCCCCTAGCAGAGGTTGCCAAGGTTAGTTGGAATTCATTTCAATATTAATCATTGATCCCATCATAAGTGTGGATATGCAATATGTTGATTACCATTACCATTTCTTGCAATAAAAAATCTCACTCCCAAAGCATCATACAACTGTAAGAAAAAAAGTAATTAAAAAAATCTAAACACAGTTGAAGCTGTCCCTTCACCCAGCTCCAGGCATCTCAAGACACAGCCTGTGCTGTTCATAGACACGGCTGAAGCCTAATTGCTCCTAAACAGTTTTCATCTCTCTACTTCTATTTTTTATTCAGAATAAACTGAAGATTCTCCTGCAGATGGCTGCTTGTCATTTCCGCTTGGGTCAGTTCTCAGTAAGTTGATAAACTTATTGTTTATAGTTTTTATTTTATTATTGTATCCATAGAAATTTTTCATTTTATTATTTAGTATTTATTAGAAATTTTTTTATTAGAATTATGATAAAGTTTAAGTTTGATCCTGTTTCCTGAATTATCAGTAACATCAGTTTGTATAGTCTCCTTACACAAACAGCAAATTAATTACCTTCTATGTTCTATGATTGCTTATATTTTTATATACTCTGTTTTACTGCAAAATATACTTGATGATAAATAAGGGAGAATTAACTTTGATTTTCAATGGAATTCACCTATCATTAGTTTTTTTTTAAATACAGTTTACAACAATAAATTTTTTAATGTTTTTTCCTTGAATAGAGTGCTTGTGAGATGACCTTAGATGCTGTCAATCTGATGCCATCTTCTGAGAATCCTGTAACAAAGCCGACTGCCCCCGAAAAACCAGCTCACGCCAGCAAATATACCCGCATGCTGTTCCTGCTCCCGGTTACTGGAAGAGAACTCCTACCCTACTGCATCCACTTGCTTCTGCAATGCTATAAGGTACTCATAGCATCGGCCTGGCCTGGCCTAGCCTAGCCTAGCCTGGCCTGGCCTGGCCTGGCCTACTAGCCTAGCCTGGCCTGGCCCAGCCTATATTTCTGTTAACACTACTGATTGGCGGTTTATTGCTTGATGCTTTACTCAGTTTGATAGCAGAGATTAGGCAAGACTCCATACAAACTAATAAGATAACTTGATATTCCACTAAGGCAAACTCTGTGCTCACCATCACAAAATACAAAGAATAGCCCTGATTTGGTATCCACATAGACTACATAGCAGATCTTTCATTGTTCTATAAACACAGAACCAATACCATTTTAGGGGTTGAGGTCTTTTCAAGCCTATGATTGAGAAATAAAGAATGAACTCCCTTAAGATATGCAATATATTTACTGGGCCTAGTAACAAAATATTTTTCTCGGTGTAAATATAGGCTTTGAGCTTTTGCACATGAGCCACAAAATACATCGGTACACTGTATCAAATTAGTGCCCACTCGGGATAAGAAAATCAGGGAACAGTGAAATTACACATTTCACTGTTCCCTGAGAAAATTATATGCAAATCGTGTTGTCACGACTGACTTATAAGATCGACTTAGAAATTATTCGAGTTAGGCAAAGTCGACTGGCAAGTTTAACAGTATGTTAATAATGTATACATACAGTACATGAATCGCCTTTGAAATCCATTTCCCCAAGATGATGTGGAGCCTATTTTCATAGCCTGAGAGCCGAAGGCCCGAGGGAAGATACAGTAGGCTACGGTCCTCACATCACCGAGAGGCAATAGATTTACCATTTGCCCAAATCTAGAGCAGTAAATATTGATTTATATACCTCATACATAGATTCTACAAGACCTAAAATGTACTTACTGCCTAGCCTAGAGGCCTACTAACTAGGGCCTAGACGATCAAAGAGTGTGTCTAGCTCTTCTTTGCTCATTTCCTCAATTTAAACCTATTGTCTTGCAATATTTGGTGACTATTGACAAGACATATTTAATTTGTGTTTTGGTGCTTTTGCTATCGACTTTGTCAAGAAGTATAGGACTAGGCTAGTCCTTCTTCATCCAGCTTGAACCAACATTATCCATAATTATTTTTTATCATCTACTCGCTGATCTGTGGCGCAGTCAAGGGCCAATCTCTTTTGTTGTAGAGGTCGCAGTCCCCTCTACCGTCAGCGCGATGGTGGGGTCTAGAGTTTGCACCACGCAACAGGTCAAAAAGTATTATTTTTCAGGGGAATAGTAGTTTTCAGGGGAATAGTACTTTCTATTGCCCACTTCTTAACCAATCAGATGCCTAGAATCTATATATGAGGCATTTAATTAAAAATATACCTTCTGTCATACAATTTAGGAAAAAGAAATCTTCATTAAATTTCAAAATGATTAAATATTAAACATTCAATTGTTTTTTGGTTTTTTTTCAATTCCAGAAAAAATCATTTCACCACCACAATACTAAGGATGACAAAGCACTGGGTCACATGATAGTTTTAATGCAATATGATTGGCCAAAGGAGGAGTCATTTTTTGCTGACGCAGTCAAGAAGATCCGAAAACAAGGCACATTTACCTATCCCCTGTTTTTTAGGTTTATAATCAGTATCCTTTGAGTAGTATCTTAAAACATATGAAATGTCTTATAAAGACTGCAAATGAAAGTCACAAGAATAATATTAACAAACGAGGATTGATGCAACAGACTAAACAACACATCAGAACAAACACACATTGCGCGTATTCGACTGTTCGGTTGACTACGATTTTCATTGGACTCACTCGTAAAATAGACTTCATTGACAACGAAAATTAATGTAAAAACCAGAGTGTGTTAATCAGAGTTAAGTTATCCACGTGACCAAAACAAACGTGGCCGATTGGTCAGTTTAGCAACAACATTTTCGTTAATATAATTTAGATTAAATTTAAGAAAATAAAAGTTATAATATTTACCCATATGAAGTCAGAAAATAATTGCAGGCTAACAGAATTCAAGAACTGGATGAAAACATTTTTTTATGTAAAACCCATACTGCCACAATCTGAAGCAACGTTGATTATGCAGCGTGTATCGCCGTAACTATGCAGCCATTTTGTTTTGTCAAGTATATAACAGTTTTCTATTCGACTGGTCATCTTTGTTAAGTAGGATTTTACCACTGCGCAGGTGGGCAGGGTTTAACAAAGAATGACCAGTCGAATACGGCCAAGACTTCATCTCAAATTAGAATTTCCCTTAAAGGTGTATATATATATATTATATATATTATTTTATTATTTATTTAGTTTAATTAGATGTACATATATATTTGTTTTCATTCATTAATTTACATTTAGCACAATATAATTAAAATATGCATCAATTTCTTTAACTGTAACACCAGACATTGATATTTTAGAGGAGTTTGCTTTCCTCGCTACAGAGGAGGGAGGTCCAGTTGAGCTTGATCTTTTACCCCTCACACAAAGGTAATTAGCTTGGTTTACCCCTCACACAAGAGTAATTAGCTTGGTTTACCCCTCACACAAAGGTAATTAGCTTGGTTTAAGGATAAAATTGTTTTAACATTCCCAGTGTGTGTCTGTCTTCACACCATTGTGTATTATGTATACATTATAAATTCCAAGGTATTCTTTTACTATTTATTATACTTTAACATATCCACAATAACCAAGAGATTTCTTTGGCTTATCCAGGAAGAATAAATTACATTGAATTCTAAATACATTCTTATTCTAGGCAAAAAGTAGTCACAAGAGGTGTTGTAAAAGGTGGAAAGGAAGAGTTCCGGATGGCATTGGAAACCCAAGTGAGAAGATGCGATGAGAATGTGGAGTTCCTTTTGAAGCAGTTCTTAGTTAGTGAACGAGATACATTGCTTGAACATCTCATGTAATTACTTTACAAATAACTAAAACAGTGAATATTGTCTTTAATATGTGAGGGGTTTCTTTTATCTTGTCAATAAAGATGTGAACATTCAGTTGTATCTTGGCGATAGTCTGAATGGAATGCTTATATTGCTCAGTTTAAAATGTTTTTACAAATTACCAGTGTCAGGCCGTAAAAAACAAAGGGGTTTTATAGCCAAAGATAGTAGGCTGGCTGCATACATAGAGTTTTCGCGGGCTGCAATAAAATTGCCAGTGGGCAAGGTGTGGCCTGCGAGCAGCAGTTTTGCCCACATGTGAATTAAGCCATTGTGTAATATTTTATTTAATTTTACTTTTTGTGGCTTTTTGTAATATATTGTACAAACAGCTTTCTTCAACAACTGTATAGATGCTAAAGAAGCTGACTCCCAAGATACTAAGTGTCAGATAGAGGGAACAGATACAGTATGTATGTATGTACAGTATTATATTGTTTTGAAAAAAATTAATTATATAATATTTTAAAATGTCTTCTATATTTCTGGTAAAATACCTAAAAATTAAATAGAACATTGAATTATTAATTTAAAAGGATCAATTAAGTTGAGCTCATCAGCTGTCAATGAAACACAGATTAAAACAATGTAGTTATTGCAGATTTACAAAATTTTTACTATGAAATCCATAAACTGGTGTCTATTCAAAGAATATATTTATGCATCTGTTAATTGGCAAGAAAAACAAATTAATTGAAAGCAACTAACCCACTTAAATATAGATAATAATCGATATAGTTATTAGCTAAACACAACTACTACTGGTCTCCTTCCAATTAAAGACCGCTCTGGGGCTGGGGTTTTCATGGTCTTAGCATATAGAGATAAGGAATGTGTTAACATTGGACCGGTGGTCTTTAAATGGAAGGTAGTATATTTTAATCCTAGTACAGTAGTATTTTGCTCACAATGCTAGGTCTTCTAGGGTAGATCATGCAATTTCCAAATGATTTCTTTGTTCAAAAATAGCATGGACATTACATGGCGTGGTTGGCATTGGATTAATTTTTACCATCATAAAAGAAACCTTGGTCAAATCATAATGCTGTTAACTGATGTAAAATATGTACTGTACAGGCCTCGCAGAATTATGAAATTTTTGTTTGCCCTTCGGGTAAGCCAGGTCTCAGATTTGGTTGCCCTCACAATTTTTTACTTGCCCCCTATATTTATTTCGCAATTGACAATGCTAGAGGTACCAACCTCACATGACACATAGCCTATTAAAAAGTAGTACAATCAACCAAGTTTAATGATTTGCGAATAAAAACAAATTTTGTATTTTATACCTAAATTAAAGTCTTATTTTATTGTCAGCAGTGGCACCAGTGGCCAGGGCCCCCCATAGGGGATAAAAACAACAATTCATCGGGGAGAAAAAAAAATATATATATATTAGGCCTAGTAGGTTCTAAAATCAATTAAATAAGCCTTAAGCCTTTGAAACCATTATTTTCATAATTTCCGGGATTTCAACCCTGAAACAATTTCAGAAACTTTGAGCGACGCCCGACCACGCCCACCTACACTCTTGTTGGGTCCCCCGTCAAAGACATCGTACCCCCCGTCTGCCAAATCCTCCCGCCACCCAGTCCCATTCAGAAATCAAATCAATTCACTTAGTTTTGTATTGATGCTCTTACTTTGTCATGAATGGAAATAAACTGTTTGAAATAGGCATATACCACCAGTTGGCAGTACTGCAAATTGCCTAGTAACGGTGAATTCATTGAGAAATGTTCCAAAACAAGTAGGTTCCACAATCAGGAAAAGCATGGGAGAAGCAGACACAAGGTCAGTCACAATCAGTAGTCTTATTCTTTAGGAGTTTCAACAATGTGAACAGGGCTGTTGTCATTAAAATAGCTGAAAGCCTATTATACCAATCCATCTATACTCTCAAGAAATATGTATATATTATGTACAAAGCAAATAAAAATGATTTTTTTTTAAGGAGTAGCTTCAACTTTTTACTGTACATTCCAAATGCCAAAAAATATTTTTAAAAATTACTGAATAAGATAAAGTAATAAATAATAGATACAAAAAATCGTACAATTTAGTATTGAGGAAGTCTTCCATTATGCAGGTAGACCATAAATGAGAAAAGCTATCTAAGACAAATACATCAAGCCATTCTGTCAACATAGATATAATATAAATCTTTACATAAACTAAAAGCAGATACCATTACTACAAAACCATGTCACATTAAATAACATTCAGGAATCAATTATAACATCACATACACTTACACCAGGATATCTATTTATCCTTTTTTTTTGTTCCGAGTTGTGGCCGATAGGTGCTTGGACTGTCCAACAAGGGGCTTAAGCCACTAATGCATCACCCCATCCACCGCTGGTGGGGTGCATACATCTTGTGGTCTTTAGCTAATTAAAAAAAATATATATTTTGCAAAAATATTAGTGAAAACCCAGATTCTTGTGATTTGGTATTTGTCGAGCTTGGGTAACACTACATTCATAGTTAATTTACTACATATCTTGGAATATAATAATATATTGCCCGTCTTTGATTTTTTTTCCTTCTATGATAGGCCTAAAGAAAGAGATAAAATTACCTGACCTTTTTTCAAGAGTGGGAAAACCCTTTCATTTTAGGGTTTTTTGGAAACATTTTGAACCCCCCTCTTTTAAATCCTTGATCCGCTTCTGCTTGTTCATAGCATTAGCTTCTTATAGCCAGAACAAGCATAAATAATTATTGCTGTACTGTAAATTCTTCACATTAGCAGAGTTTAAAATGAGTTCATAGTTTATGTGCTTGTGCATATACATTCATAGCATGAAGCTTCTTAGCCAGTACAGGCATCATTATTAGCCCAACGTATCGAATCAGTTCTTCCGCAGTTGCATCGTTGCCTTTCTGCTTTTGCCATCGTCGCAGAATATGTATTACCATACTTTGCGTGTCCTCCTTGTAATCTTTTTCAATAGCTTGACTTTCTTCTTTGCTGAAGCGAAATACACGCATCAAATCTTTGGCCTCGCGTTCACGTATGTTGTAAGACACACATTCAAACATCTTCATCAACAGTGCCTCTGAATAGAGAAAAAAAACATTTTTGATTGCCAATATGAAACACATTTCCAAACTCAACAATAGTGAATCGGAACATTCAATAGGTGGGCGAAAGGCAATACATGCATGTTTTACGAATCTATTCTTGAATGCAGCTGCACAATGTTGTTTTGTGGGAATACAGGAACAAATCCTAAAATGCGAGGCTTAGCGAAAAGGTCTATTGTACATAAATATAATGCTGTATGTTGCTCTTTTCTTTGTACAAATTTTATGTCTATGGCACCTCGAGATGACTGGAAATACTGTAGCACACTCAAAATTAAATTTGAAAAAAATATAAAATAGAGGGGAACATTTTCCTAATAAACTTCCAAAAATTTAGAGAAGGGGGCTGGGGCACAGGCGGGCACCCCTTTCTGAATCCGCCTCCGGTAAAAAAAAATTGTTATTTCATTCAACTTACTTTTTCTTGCAGCAGCCGCCATCAGGAACCTTGAGATAGGCTGTATTGCTCCTCCATCACATACCTGGGATGGTGGGTGTGTCAAAGGATTCTGCTCCAGCCTTAACTGCTGTAAGTTGGTCATCATGGTAAAACCTCTTGGTAGCTCACTCAACAAGTTGTTCTCCAAATCCAGACAATGTAGCGATTTGAGCTTAGTGAAGGAGTCTGGAAGAGTTGAAATTTGGTTGTTTCTGGCAGAGAGGATGGTCAAAACAGGCAAATCAGAAATGGTCTCTGGCAGCATCTCTAATAAATTATCATCAACATAGAGTTCTTGAAGGAACACCAGATTTTTTATGTATGGTGGTAAGAAAGTGCTCTTATGCCCTAAGGCCTGTCGGAAAAACAGCACCTGTAATGCTGGGAAGCTACATACTTCAGATGGGAAGGTACTGAATTTATTATCTGACAGATTCAACGTTGTTAGTGACTCCATTTTAGTGACTGTTTTTGGTATTTTTGTGATGACATTTTTAGCCATGCTGAGTTTCTCCAAATGACCTAGAGCACAGGCTTCCTCTGGTATCATTTCAAATTTATTTTCATCCAGAATCAAACACTTCAAATTGATGAGTTTTTCAATCTGTGATGGCAAATCCATGATAAGATTCTGACTTAGATCGATGCTCTTCAAAGACCATAATTGTGTAAGCTCAACAGGAAATGTCCTAAAATTATTAGAAGAGAGTGTAAGGGTATGTAACCCATACATCTCCGATATGTCTGGCATCAAATTAGTCAGTGCATTTTGATCTAATGCTAGGGTCTCCAACTTCCTCATTGAACACAAACTCAGTGGTAGCAATTTAAATTTATTAGAACGCATCGACAGATTCTGGGTGGCTTTCAAATGCGAAAGCTCAACTGGCAGATTGGCCAACCGATTACCATCGATATCAATTACTTGAAGTCTAGAGAGTAGAGACAGTTCATCTGGTAGTGATTCAAATTTATTATTACCAATGTGAAGTTCTTTCAGTTTCTGTAGATGACATATGCCTTTGGGCAGAGTTGTAAGTTGATTATCATTCAAGCTTACAAGCTCCAGTGTTGAAAGATTGCAGATGCTTGTTGGTAAGGCTTCAAGTTTGTTGTTGTTCAGTCTTAGAATTTTCAACTTATTAAGCTGATTTATTTCATGGGAAAGTTCCTTCAGAGAATTGTTTGACAGGTTCAGCTCTTGCAATTCAGGCAACCAGTATATCTGGATAGGTAAATACTCAAAACAATTCTTATCTAAATGTAACTCAACAAGATTAAAGAAGAATTCAACGTTAGCAGGTAAAGTCTGAAGAGCATTACCAGACAGGCTAAGCTGCACAAGCTGGTCCAACAGACAAACTTCTTTAGGTAACTTTTCCAGGCAGTTATTATTCAAACCAAGTACTCGTAAATTGCACAAACGCGAGAAGTCTGACGGTAACATTTTAAGTTGGTTTTGGTTTGCACAGAAGGCGGTTAGATCAACCAAGCAACACAACTCATCAGGCAATTCTACCAACCGGTTATCATTCACAAACAGTTGCTTCAAATTTTTTAACTGTGAAATCTGTGGTGGGAGTTTTTCTATTTCATTTGAACTGAGATCTAAAATTTGAAGGATCTCCAAAGAGAAAATGACAGTTGGAACCTGGTAAAAGCTGTTAAGTTGTAAAACAAGAACTTCCAGGTCCTTGATGTTTGATGTCGCAGCAGGAATATCTTGAAGACGGTTATTTGTGAGTAATAAACACTGCAGATAATCAACTGTACACACTTGTTCCGGCAACTCGTCTATGCATCTGTCACTGAGATCTAAGCAGTACTTTCCTTGGCCATTTATGAACACTTGACCAGTGAAGTCTCTTTCCAGTTTGTCACTTTGTTGGTTTTCCTCATCAGGCGTTTCGTTTTGTTCAATTTGATCAAACGTTGACCTTGGCTGTAGCTCTGTGGGGTGCTCCCATTGTGTCCCACTGGAAGCTGTACTTTTAGATTCAATAATATCCTCAGTATTAAGCTCCATCATCTGAATTAAAGTAAAAAAAAATAAATTAATAGTAAATACCAAAATATTAGATTTAACCTAATTATTTATACAGCATAATTAGGCTGTTAGTTTAAACAAATCTCAAAAGTATCATGTACCATTTTTTGTAAATGTTAACACATGACATTCAATTCAATTACTGATTTTGTAATAGTAATACTGCTGGTATTTACAGGTTATAGACCTAGGCCTGGTACTCCTAGCCTGGCAACTTATAAAGGACTCTAGTCCAGCTGGTTACATCGTTCCACCCCAGAGTGAGTTGTTTCATTTTTCCGGGACAAAACGACTAGTCCTAGACTAGGTCGCAGGCCTTTCCAAGCAATGAATGATGTTATTTTGATTTGATATTTTTATTGCATATTTTAGTTCAGCTTAAAATTGATGAGAACCTTATTATAATATTATTTGGGCCTAACTTAGTAGGCAGCCTCTAAACTAGCCAAGCCTAGGCTACTACTATTCAGGCCTAGGCCTAGCCCATTCTAGCGCTGAGGAAGGCTAGGCCTAGGATAGCCTCAGTCTTAGGTTTAGCCTAGAGTAGTAATAGTAGGCCTAGGGCACAGGCCCTACCTAGCCGGCCTAGGCCACATGAAAATTATAGAATAGGCGTATAGCAACCATCTTCTCTAGAAAAATGCCTCTCCTCGGGCCTAGGCCTAGCTAGGTATATTCGGCCTAGGCCTAGCCTAGCATAGCAGGCCTCTCGTAAGTAGCCTATTGAAGCCTAGGCCTATGCCTAGTTAGCAATAATATCATAAAGCACATTATAAAACAATTTATCACTACAAAAATAAAGAATATAGGCATCTAGGCCTACTCACTATACCCGTTGACTTGTTCGTCTTCACTCAATCTTGGTTAGCTTCGTGTTGCTAAGCACCACTACCGATGATGAACGACTGATGATCACACTAATCATAATAATATCGTGCTTGATTGCACAGCTAGAAAGAGGGCGCATATCTTAATAGTACGGTGGTCCACAACTCTCACGCACAATAAGAATCGCAAAATAAAGAAGCGGGTAAAGAAGTCCGCAACAAATTTAAACGTGTACTACAGTGCACAATGAAAGAACTCCGCAAAATGCAAAAGTACCTCGCACAATTACAGGAGTCCGCAACATATTCGAAAGTTCCCCGCGCAAAATTTATAATCCTTGTGCATACTGGCTATTAACTTAAATTAACGGGAAATAGTGAACCCTGATCAGCCAGTGACAATTGGATTGTTTAGTGTGTCATTGCTATTTTGTACGAATAATTCCCTTCAAATAAAATACAATTGCACTTGCATAATAGGCCTACTGTAGCAGCGGTTTTGCGCATTAGGAAGTTTGTTTCCCAACTACTGCGCCAATGTGGCATACCGGCAGCAACGCTTATGCCAATAATTAACCCAATGGCCAGGGATAACCCATGGAGGAACCAAGAGACTTATTTTTTATACCTCCTTGGATAAACTTACAGCGCTTCGTCGTAACTGCAAGAGGAAAAGCTCTATACAGGCAACACGAAAATAGAGATTCGGCGATGGGCGTCACGTGACCTAACTTGGGTGTAGGGTATAAACAATCTGTTTCTAGTCAAAACGGCAATAAACCAAAAACGGCAATAAGTCAAAACGGCAATGACCAAAAACGGCAAAAAACCAAAACGGCAGCACTTTTTGACCAGAACGGCATTAGACCAAAACTTTAAAATACACACAAAATGAGACTACAGCAATTTATGTCGCGAAAAACATGAATAATAATAATAATAATAATAGGCCTAATAATAATAATAATAATAATAAAAATAATAATAATAAATAATAACAGGCCTAATAATAAAAAGCCTAATAATAATATAACAACATACAAATTCAATAATAAAAAGATTGGAGGAAACACAATATAAAATATAGAAGAAATAAACGTTCAAATAAATATAACTTTAAAATACAGACAAAATGAGGCTAAAACAATAATATTGATGGGATAATAGTAAAAACGCGAAAAACAACAACAATAATAATAATAATAATAATAACAACAACAGGCCTAATAATAATAATATAACAGTAATAACAATATAACAACATACACATTAATAAAAAGATTAGGGGGAAGCACAATATAAAGGCAGTAAACATCCAAATAAATAAAACTATAAAATACAAACAAAATGAGAAATTTTGTCAGTGCCGTTTTGGACTGTTGCCGTTTTGGTACTTCTCATTGCCGTTTTGGTTATTGCCGTTTTGGTCATCGCAGTGGCGAATTTGGTTTATTGCCGTTTTTACCTACCAAACAATGGACTGGCTAAAGATCATTATAATTCCTAGTAAACTATACCAAATTGATTGGAAATTTAACTTGAAAATTTTACCTTAATGGTTTGCTAATGCTGTAAAGGATACTGGCCGCAAACATTGAAACTTGTCAACAAATGGTAGGCCTAGTCCCCTGCACATCTACGGCATTAGTTACGCTTCGAAGTTAGGGCTAGTTAAGGTTTATGAAGATAAATTTCAAAGCATACAATTCTTGGAGAACGCTAGTGTAAGTAAATATAAACACTATTTTGAACAATCGTACTGCCTTTCCTAGCCATTTATTTCTCACCTCAACAGTGGGTTCAGTTAAAATACTAGAAGCACAGACATTAGGCCCCATAAAAAAAATGATTAGTTTATCATCCCCGCGCGCATCTCTTTTGACGAAATCGCGATTTTTTTTTTTTTTTTTTACTAGATTTTTTTCATTGAAAAAACGATCGTTTGTTCGTCAAAAACAAATTTTAAGGCTGGTGAATGATGATTTTCGATCTTTAGAGTAGTCGCCAAGTAACAATATCTATTTATAGGCGATCTTTTTCATACTGCGCATCACTCCCCCCCCCCCCAAAAAAAACAAAAAAAAAAACCTCCCTCCCTCATCTGTTTTTTGGTCTTGATAGGATGATAAACTAATAATTTTTTTTATGGGGCCTTATCTTTAAATATAGTTAAAAAACTCAGTATATATATATAATATAAGTTATATGTAAGTTAGCCGTTAACACTGTTGAATAAATATAATAGGTCTATAAATGATCAAAGGTACATATACAGTGTTATCATGTCCTTATTAAACACTGTATATGTACCTTTGATCATTTATATTATATATATATAGGCCTATTTATTCTATATATACAGAGTGAAATAATACATAGGCCGAGTTAGTCTTAGCGGTAGGGATTAGGCCGTAATCACAGAAAGAAATGAAAACAATTCAATGGCTATACTATTAGTAATACAATACTGTTCTTAGTCTGTGGATTTTCCAACCTAATCCCACAAATTATCTTACTGGGGAGTGCATTTGTCTCTCTCTCTCTCCCTTCATTCAACTTGAGGGCTCACACACAGTGGAGCCAATTTTTAAGCTACGTAATAGCTTATCGGTGTATAATCTTATAAATGCCCTGCAAATAGCCTATGCATCAATTCGTCGGTCTATTATCATGTTTTGTAATCTCATATGTCATTTTTCTCATTTCAATAATTTCAATAGTCCTTCTGTCATTGTTAATTCTCTCTAACAACTTTCTGAGCTGTGAAAAAGGTCTGCGATTCTCGTACCGTAGACGCAGGTTATGTGGAATATAGAATCGTGATGACGCGTCGTACAGTCTCGTTTCACGTAATTCTTCTGCTTTGCGTTTTACTATTCTCTCTTCCAACTCCTGTTCGACGTTGTTTATAATTTCTGTCATTGATCGATTAATTTTTGTAGGTACTTTTGTGTTTGTAGTCTTTCCTTTATCAATTAGGCGAGTGTCGACACTGTCACATTTCTTCAAAATTACGGAATTCTGTAATAATAGGTTGTGTCCCGTGGTCGGTGGAATGCTTGCTCGGCGTTCACAATTTTTTGATTTCTGTTTTTCGATCAAATCTTTTAAATTTGTCGGGTCTCTGATGACGTCAAAGTCTAAGGCTGATAGTGAACGCCTTCTTTGAGAGTTTAGGCTACGGTCTCTCGAAGTTGGAAATTCTAAAGAGATAGCGGATCTTTCCTTATCCCTTTTTCTACAAACTGAAACCTGATTTAAGTTGGATTCCGACTTATTGAAGCCTTGTAAGAGTGACGGACCGTTGGTAGTCTTTTTATCATCAACGTTCGAGATTGTTATTTTTGGTGGTTTCTTCTTTGCATCAATATTAGGAATTGTTAACGCAGCTCGAGGTGGTTTCTTCTTCGCACCATTGTTTGAGATCACTTGCTCTGATGGTGATTCTGCTTTCGCACAGATATATTGATTTATTATCTCGGGTTTCTTGCATCCTTTTTTGTCGATATTTTTTGTCTCGTTTTCTGTGTGTACGTTAATGCAGCTATCATTGTCGTCACCATTCTCTCTAGAAAGTTTCAGGTGATTGACGTCCGAGTTTAAAACTGCCTGGAAGCAAGATTGACACATAAATAGTCAATTATTGAAGCAATTATTCCATTTTATTGCATGCGACATTGAACGACAAACGCATCCTTTAACTTGTTGTGCGTAGGCCTATAATTTATAGCACCATTAATACATC